ATTCCTCCTCCTGCGGTCTAAATAATGATTCTGCATTTGTACGAGGAGCGTTGTTGGTTCAACACAACAACCCACATCCTTCTCTGGGATAAATCCACTCCGGCCACAACCATCACCATCACTCTCCTGCACCACCACCATCACCACCACTCTCTCCCGCCCCACCACAACCACCACCACCACCACAATTCTCTCTCCTACCCCACCACCGCTCTCCCTCTCCTGCCCCGCGGTGTCAAAGTTTCCCAACTCGGCATTCTTCACAAAGGGAGCGCCACTGCTGCTCCGCTGCTGCCGCGACACAGCCCAGCGGCAAGCCAGTGTGGAGCTAGAGCAGCGCCGTCTGGGTGTCTACACTACACACCACACACAGACCACACACACACTACACATACACACTCAACACACACACACCACACACACCACACTACATACACTACACTACATACCCTCACTACACACACACAACACACACACACCACACACACTACACCACACACACACTACACCACACACACACTACACACACACACTACACACACACACTACACACACACTGCTTGCGAGTGTCCGGTGCGAGGTTTGCTTTGTTAGAGCCGTGCACTGGAACCGCGAATCCCCCCTCCTTCCCCGTGTGTCCATCCCAGATGTCGACTCTGTGGTGTGTGTGGTGTGTGTGGTGTGTAGCGTGTGTATGTAGTGTGTGGTGTGTGTAGTGTGTGTAGTGTGTGTATGTATGTAGTGTGTGTGTGGTGTGTGTGGTGTGTGTGGTGTGTAGCGTGTGTATGTAGTGTGTGGTGTGTGTAGTGTGTGTGTGGTGTGTAGTGTGTGTATGTATGTAGTGTGTGTGTGTGTGTGTGTGTGGTGTGTAGCGTGTGTGTGTGTGTGTGGTGTGTAGTGTGTGTGTGGTGTGTAGTGTGTGTATGTAGTGTGTGTAGTGTGTGTAGTGTGTGTGTGGTGTGTAGTGTGTGTATGTATGTAGTGTGTGTGTGGTGTGTGTGGTGTGTGTGGTGTGTAGCGTGTGTGTGTGGTGTGTAGTGTGTGTGTGGTGTGTAGTGTGTGTATGTAGTTTGTGGTGTGTAGTGTGTGTATGTAGTTTGTGGTGTGTGTAGTGTGTGTGTGGTGTGTGTGTGGTGTGTGTGTGTGTGTAGTGTGGTGTGTGTGTGTAGTGTGTGTGTAGTGTGTGTGTGTAGTGTGGGGTGTGTGGTGTGTAGTTTGTGTATGTAGTGTGTGTGGTGTGTGTAGTATGTGTGTGTGTAGTGTGGTGTGTGTGTGTAGTGTGTGTGTAGTGTGTGTGTGTAGTGTGGGGTGTGTGGTGTGTAGTTTGTGTATGTAGTGTGTGTGGTGTGTGCAGTGTGTGTATGTAATGTGTGGTGTATGTAGTGTGTGTGTGGTGTGTGTGTGTGTGTGTAGTGTGTGTGGTGTGTGTAGTGTGTGTGTAGTGTGTGTGTGTGGTGTGTGTGTGGTGTGTGTGTGGTGTGTGTGTAGTGTGGTGTGTGTGGTGTGTGTAGTGTGTGTGTAGTGTGTGTAGTGTGTGTGTAGTGTGTGTGTAGTGTGTGTAGTGTGTGTGGTGTGTGTGGTGTGTGTAGTGTGGTGTGTAGTGTGTGTGTAGTGTGTGTGGTGTGGGTGTGGTGTGTGTAGTGTGTGTGTAGTGTGTGTGTAGTGTGTGTGTAGTGTGTGTGTAGTGTGTGTAGTGTGTGTGTAGTGTGTGTAGTGTGGTGTGTGTAGTGTGTGTGTAGTGTGTGTAGTGTGTGTAGTGTGTGTGGTGTGTGTAGTGTGGTGTGTGTAGTGTGTGTGTGTAGTGTGTGTGTGTAGTGTGTGTGTGTAGTGTGTGTGTGTAGTGTGTGTGTAGTGTGTAGGGTGTGTAGTGTGTGTGTAGTGTGTGTAGTGTGTGTGTGGTGTGTGTATGTGGTGTAGTGTGTGTAGTGTATGTGTAGAGTGTGTTTGTGTAGTGTGTGGTGTGTGTGTGTAGTGTGTGTGTGTAGTGTGTGTGTATGTAGTGTGTGTATGTGGTGTGTGTGTGGTGTGTGTGGTGTAGTGTAGTGTATGTAGTGTGTGTGTGTAGAGAGAAGTGCTCACGTAGTGTTTGCTCGGCGCCCTGCGCTTCTGGAAGTCCTGCACCCTCACGTCCGAGATGGCCCTGTGCGCCATGGGTGCTGGGTGATGCCACCACGCCCGTCCTCTCTACGCCTCCTCCTCTTCTCCTGCACGGCGACTCGGAGATGCTCTCTCCACCTCCTCGCTCCTCCCGCTCTCAGACTCTCTCCTCCTCTGTGCGCTCGGCCACTCACGGGGGCGCTGAGTCGGCACGCCGCCTCCTCCTCCTCCACTTCTGCCTCCTCCTCCACTACTGCCTCTTCCTCCTCCTTCTCCTCCTCCTCCGCCTCCTCCTCCACCACTACTGCCTCCTCCTCCACCACAATCGCAGTGACGCGAGCACGCGGGATGATGGCAGCTCCCACAACCCCCGCCAGGACCGCCAGTCGCTGCCTCCCACCCGAGCAACTCCTCCGCTCGCCCAGCAGACGATGATCGATGTCTCCCCGCCCCTACCAGCGCCCATGCTGGTGGCTCTTTTCAAGTGTCATGTGGTAGTCGTATTGTTACCGTCTTTGTTGTTGTTGATGTTATCATCATGAAACAATTGAGGCGATTCAAAGCGCCGCATCAAATCAAATAGCGCTGTCCGGTCCGCCGAGACGTAGACACGTCTGCTGATCACGGTAATTCCTGAGACGTGGCTGTTTTCTTGCCAACTTACACACGCACGTTTGAACAAATTAATCAATTGCACTGGAAGACGACGATTTCCAGCAGCACTCTATTGAGTTGTCTGCAACCATTGCAATTTTCCATCATGTCTTTTTATTTTTAATAATTAAGTTTTTTTGGACTTCCCACCTCCAAATGGTCGTTTGCAAGAGCAAACCAGCAGTGCATGGAAGCAGATATCACAGAACCACCTCTGCAATCTCAAGTGAATTCCTATCAACACCAATAAACGCAACACATTTGTCAAGAACACTGCCTTAAAAGAAACATAATTGGAGACAGTCCAGGCAATTATCATTTTTTTATAGTATAGAGGGCGGATATGAATGAAAATTTAAAAAATACATTCTGACGCCAGTTTTTAATTAGTTATATGAATAGTTACCAAATAGTATTAGTAAATAAACACGTACAAATGTCCCCGATATAGTGCCTTGTGGGAAGGTTTGTTTTGGTGTGAAAACGTCACAATCAGCATTGGTGGGCCCAGCCACCACCTCAATAGCAGGCACTTAACCTGCCACAAACCCCTGAGTTACAGAAGTCTGTTACACAACATCTGAAGGGTGAAACTAAAGCAAATGAAACTAGACAGTGACACGGGGTGTCTTGCACTCAATAATAAAGTTGCCTGTGTGTTTTTAAGTGGCTTTGCGCTCTGTCAGTCCTGCCGGCTGCACGGCCCCCAAGTTTCATGACGAAGGCGGCCACGTGCCATGGCTGCGGCCTCATTCCCACGGGAGACGAACGCAAGGCCGCGGCCACCATGCCGCGTCGCTCGGCCTCTTGGTGCCCAGCGCCTGCACGGCGAGCGGAGACGAGCGGTCGGGCGAGGCGGCGTTGGCCACGTTCCGCTCACCACGCTCGCGGTGAGAGCAGCAGATTGGGGGAGGCGCTGCCACTCTCGTGTTGCTCTGAGCACGGATGGGCAGCTCCCTCCCTGCGGTTGACGCAAATGTTCATTGCATCACAAACCGATCATTTTAATTCTCAGAGCTATAATTTAGCCAAAGTGGCTTTCCAAGCAAAAAAAATATGTTTGAAGCATTTGTTACATCAGTTGCACGGCCTTCTGGGAGCGCATTTTTAAAAGACCGATTGCTGATGAGACATTGCACGTTGAAGAAACTGGTCCAGAGATAGCTTGCTTGTCAACAATCACTGCTGTTGAGCTGCTGATGTTACAGATGACAACCCTATTTTTACCATATGGTCTCAGTCGGACGAAAAATTGGTCATGCATATCTCTAAATAATCAAAGAGGGTCTGCTTATTTAAGAAACGTGCACAGCCCTTCTGTGAATCCACCGCGGGATGTAGGCCTCTCCATGTGCAGGCTGCTGTGGGATGATACTCCACCACGGCAGGCAGAACTCACGCCGGTAACGCGTGTGCGAGGCAGCTCTCGGACAAATCTAGCTGCCGAAGCACGGCATCATGGCTGGAACACAGAAGTCCGACCAGTGGAGGTGGGCTGCAGAGGTTTTGTGGCAACATCTACAACCAGACTGCTTAGAGACCTGGGAATTAAGGGCCAGAGCCAGCGTTCGGCAATCAAAGCTGTATCGGAGGCGGCAGAAGGCAGCAGTCAGTGGCTCTGGATGAAGAGGAAAGACCCCAGCTGGGCCCCAAAGTGAGAGGGCCAGGAGGTATGCAGTCAACAATGCTTGACTCAGGGAGGAGGACGCCCCTGCCATGCATAGTCCCATGGGATGTTGGCTACCAACAACAAGGCAACTCCTATGACTAATTGGGAATGGGACGCAAGCGTAGGATTGATCACCCTGTCGCTGGCCGCCTTTGGGGAGGGTGTATAGTATGAAAGGCCGAAACACCCTAGGACCCAAAGGTTCACTACTGACGATGCGCTCCCCAAATTTCACCAGGCTCACTGTTCATGAACTCTTGGAAGTGCTTGCACAAAGGATAATAACATCTCATCCTGTGTTCTTTGGAATCAGTCGGACGAAAAATTGGTCATGCATATCTCTAAATAATCAAAGAGGGTCTGCTTATTTAAGAAACGTGCACAGCCCTTCTGTGAATCCACCGCGGGATGTAGGCCTCTCCATGTGCAGGCTGCTGTGGGATGATACTCCACCACGGCAGGCAGAACTCACGCCGGTAACGCGTGTGCGAGGCAGCTCTCGGACAAATCTAAAACTCGGCAGCACGGCGAGCCCCGGCCACTCACCCAGAGCTCACAAAGAATTGTGGAGACAGAATCGTGATATTTTGGTATTTATTAATATCCGACTCAGACGGACACATACGCATATTAAAACTATCTAAATAAAATATATAAAATACACTGTTTAATTAACATAGAAAGAAGGCATCTATGACATCGGTATCTACAGCAAGCGCAATACACGTGAAGGGAAATGGTTGAAAAGGTATCGGAAGTGGCAGAAGGGAACAGGGAGCTGAAAGTAAACAGGAGAATGCAAAGGGTCGCCAGACAGCGAAAACTACGGCTGGAAAGAAAAGCATGCGTGACAGATGAATAAGGCGGCAGGGAGGCTGGAGGAGGGGGGTGAAAGAGAAGAAGTGCAAATGTGGCAGTGTACGACGAGGCGGGCTACCGGCTGCAGGATCACGGCATCCCGTGAAGTGTCACACGTTCAGTGTCAGCGTGAAGTGTCACACGTTCAGTGTCAGCGTGGCCGTCCGAGGCGGCGAGGCGACGGACACGTCGCAAGCTCGCCGTGCGCGACTTGCCCACGTGGGCGTGTGGTAACAACCTGAAGGGCCCCAATACGAGGAGTGGCTGCTTCGTGTTGATTTGGCTCAGCGCGTTTGAGAACTCCTAACGTCCACAATATTCACAATAAAAAATATCTGTACAGCAAACCTGGTGGCAACGGGCGTGCTCACATTGGGCGCCTGCCCATCCCACGTAGTGCAGTGAAACTTGCTCAGTGCAGAAAATATAGAGGAGGGGGGGGGGGGGTGCCGGCAGTCTCCTTCTCCTTTAGACAGCGAGGTACGATCAGGCACAACGAGAGGGTAGGTCCGCCCCCCCAGGGGCTTGGGCCACGTGGTAACCGGCCCAGGGCTCTCCCACAGCGTGGCGACGTTTCCGGCGACTGCAGCGGCGGGGGCGTTGACCGGCGCCCCCCCCGCGTTGACAACACCTGGTGGATGCCAGGCGCGCATGTCCGGCAGAGCGCATCGCGTGCCGGCGTCTGCGTTGGGATTCTTCCGAGGCCCCTGGAGGGCAATCCCTGTACACGAAGTGCTTATGGAAGTGCTTATTCAAAACTCGTCCCTCCTTTCGCGCTTGACGGCGCCCACAGGATTGTGACCACAACCACGTTGGTGGAAACAGAAAGGCGCTCACCGAACGTCCATTTAAAAAACAATTAAAAGTTAGTTTATCTCTCCAATATTGCATCTACAGGCAGACGGCGGGTATCCAGCTCCTTCACGTGCCGCGCTGGGGGCAGGGCAGCACCCAGAGGGAGCGGCGCTCCGTCTCCGCGGAGGGGAGGTCGTCAAGAGCGGCCGTCCGCGTGAGAAATCTGCGCGGCCGCGCCGTCCGTCGGCGGCGGGGCCTGCACGGAGCGGCCCGTGACGAGCGGGGCCCGGCCAGGAGAGCGTCTCGCCCGGAGCTTCACCTCCTCCGTGGGGCAATTCTGCCTGTCCAGGACAGTCTGTGAAAAACACCAGCAGCAAATCTGTACATCACGAGAAAACCGAGCAAAACGGCAAAATATAATGCAGGCTGGAAACAAACATATTTATCATAACACACACGTGCAGCACTCTATTGTACAAGGTCCCTAACACAAGGGGGTAGCGGCCACTTCACCCGATACCTGGGGAGGTACGGCCTCCGGACTACACGGCCCTAACACTGGGAACCCCGTTAACTTTCCGTCCTCCGGCTGGGGGCCCTAGGGGAGGCTTTGCTGACCCGACCGTGCCGGGTCTTCGGGGCCTGACCACTGGCCTCACTGAGCTCCGGCCCTTAGAAGGACGGCGGAGCTTGGGGTCCAGGGTCCTAACCTCAGCCCAGGTCTTCAGTCTTCGGCTTGGAGATGACTGAGCCGGACCCTTGAGAGGTCCGGCTTATATATACTGATTCGTGGCTTGCTCTGCCCTAGCCACGCCTCCCTTTCAGAACTTTCTGGAAGGTGACATCATCCCCCGGTCCCCCCTCCTGGGGTCCGGGGAATGTGTCCCAGGATCCGCTTCCCAGGGAACTGTCGTTGGCCCCTTGGGCCACGGTCACTGACAGTGGCGTGAGAGCGCTTCCGCCCCCTGTTGACGACAAGGGGGAGTTACCCGCTAACAGGATGGGGAGTGCCGAAAAATGCCTCTACACGTGCTAAAAAAAAGCCTTAACCAAACCACCAGCTGAAAATAACTGAACGTGTGGCCCTTGTGGTATGTACGCGTGTTGAACTTCTGTTCACCGTACGTTGCTAATCATGCTAATCGTTAAGACCACCAACTCAAAGAGTTGAGAGACTGCATCTTAGTTTTGCTGCCGCTGGTTGGGACGGCCACAGTTTCTCGGTTTTGCTGATAAACAAACTCATCACTTGGCACGTTTGCTGACCCCTGCCGTCGTTACCCCCACCCGCTCTCGTTACCCCCACCCGCTCTCGTTACCTGCACCTGCTCGCGCAGTTTGAGCAGCAGCCGCGTGGGCTCCAGCTGGCGACTCAGGGCGGCGCAGACGTTCTCGTCGTCGGCCAGCACGCGGTGCAGCGGCCTCCCCGGGGACACTCGCTTGGGGTCCTTCAGCTCCTCCACCAGCACGTAGCCGGCCGGGTCACTCTTCCTCAGCGACGTCATCGAGTACTTGGCCTTGCTCAGAGTCTGCGGCGAGAACGGAGGCGCGGGGGGGGGGGGGACAACATCGATGAGCAAGGCACGTGTCTGAAGCAACTATCGTTCACCATTTAACGAAATGTAAACATGTTTTAATTTTAACAGACAGGTGGGAAGTGTAGCCAGAACTGGCACCAACACATTTCCCAAGCTCTGTGGTCCTACATTGGGATGTGTGGCCAGCTTCACGAATGAGTGTTGTGATGCCGATACGGCGCTTGCACCACACTTGGCGCGCGCTAAGACTACGTTGGGTAGTGACGACTTGCTGGCAGGAAACAGTTGGGTATGCTCAGGTACGTCGGCAGGAATGCACGTGTTGTAAATATGTACAGGAGTACAAGCAATTCGACACGTGACAATACGTCCGATCAGACGGCTCGATACGCATCTCTCTTTGGACACGCATTGCAATGTTTAAAAATAGCACTTGTTAATTATTTAGTCAGCACTTCCATGAGTGACAAGCTTGGCTCGCATCACGTAGGCAGCGTTGCCATAGGGAGACCCAGAGTTCAGAGAGAGGCAAACAGCAGGAGAATATTATAATGGCCATTTAATTATACAACGTTTGATTTGTAGACAGAATGCAAATACAGAAGGCTCACGCATGCTAACTGGAAACGCTCTATGCCCGTCCAGATGGAAATATGTGACAATTAGACCACTTGCTGTGCCGCTTTCTCCTGGCGAGCCGGGGTACGGCACCTCGACGCCCACGGGAAGGGAGTTTCACAACGTTCGTGCGGTGATCCGCCAATCCTGCTGGCTACGCAACGCTGGACAACAGCCGCTACCGCCGACGCCGCCGCCCAGGCCAAACAAACAAACAAACATCGGCTCACGACAACGGACGAGAAAAAGCAGCATGCGTCCACCTGGGTGATGATGTCCTGTGCGGTGCTGGCGCAGTCGGCGCGGATGATGGTGTGCGGCTGCTCGGGCAGGATGTCGTGCACACGCACCAGGAAGGTGCTGCTGTTCCACTCGCGCTCACCACCCGGTTCGTCGCGCTTCTGTAGAGCACAACGCAGCCCACGCACACACACTCACTCGCACACTCACACACTCACTCAACATACACACACTCACTCAACATACACACACTCAATGCAGCTTTAACGAGGCACACCCATGCACACACTCAACCCACACACGCACACACTCAACCTACACACTCACTCAACATACACACACTCACTCGCACACTCACACACTCACTCAACATACACACACTCACTCAACATACACACACTCAATGCAGCTTTAACGAGGCACACCCATGCACACACTCAACCCACACACGCACACACTCAACCTACACACTCACTCAACATACACACACTCACTCGCACACTCACACACTCACTCAACATACACACACTCACTCAACATACACACACTCAATGCAGCTTTAACGAGGCACACCCATGCACACACTCAACCCACACACGCACACACTCAACCTACACACTCACTCAACATACACACACTCAATGCAGCTTTAACGAGGCACACCCATGCACACACTCAACCCAGCACACAAGCCAACTTTTGTTGGGAGCCATCCAAACAGTTAAGACACCAAGCTGACATGACCGGGACGTGCCCAAACACACAAAGTAGCCGAGGTAGAGCACACGGGAGCCCACAAGACACAGCTTTGTAATGCTACGGTCTCCGTCTCAGCCGTAAAACAAATACACAGAGAGCTCAAGGAAAGTGTTGTTCCAGGTCCCTTGTGTTGAACCGTGGCTTCACGGTTATAGAACACATCCTACGGAATACGCTCTTCACGCACAGGTTTGGTAGAAGCGGTGATATAACGCGAGTTGGGCGGTGGAGATAAGGACATGAAGTAGGATTTTTGTGAAGCAAAAACTTAAAGCCAAATGTGAAAATACATTTGGATACTCCGAATTTGAGCTTTGCCCACTTCCCTTGTGGATTTGACAACACAGCAAGGCGCGTACAGCGCCTGTACAACGCTGGCTCAACATAAATACATTTGTGACCATTTTGTGGTTTAAATCACAAACTCAGAGAGTTGAGATGGGCCACATTACCATGCAAACACTTCTTCTACATGATGGTCTAAAGGTGGCATTAGCCCGGCAGTGGTGGCTACGCATGCCTGTAATCCAGCATTGGAGGTGGGGGTTGGTCGATCGCACGAATGTGGCGAGGTGCCATACTCTGGGGCTCCACCTGTTCCGTCTGTAGGCGATTGAGTGTTTCCCCCTCGCACGTGTGCGTTTCCTCTGGCTCCTCTGGTTTCATCCCTCGTGTGTAAACACTCATTAATTGGCTGATAATGCCTCAATATACAGAGGACCGCAGAGCTTGGGCAATTGTTGGTGCCTGCTCACCACGTGGCTGCCTTCCCGCTCAGCTTTGCTTCCTCTTCACGTCTCCGAGTCCATCTCTCTCTACGAGAGCGAGCGACTACCACGCGGTGGCGGCTTACAAGGCGAACGATCATTATTATTATTGTCGTGATCATCATAACTCTTTTACGTTCCTCCCCAACATCGCACGCCCATTTTCGTTTGTCGACGCAACGGGAATGCTGGAAACCCTGCGTACACCTCACGGCGCGCGCACCGTCCCTCCGGAGCCCACCTCCATGACGAGCCGTGCCGTGCAACCCTCGCGCGTGGCCCACGCTCGCACGAGCGGCAGCACCAGCTCCTCGGAGTTGAGCGCGCGTCGCTTGCGCCGCCCCTCGGCCTTCGCCGGCCGGGCGGCGCCCTCCCCCGGCGATCCGCGCTCGTCGGCCTGCGGGCCCGCCCCATCGCACGGCCGCGCGTCCCCGTCGCCGCCCCCCTTTGACGCCGCTCCCTCGCCCCTCTCCCGCCACACGGGAAGAGACTCCTCCACCAGCGCCCAGGCGCAGGCGCCCCGCGTGCTCTCGGGGGACGGGGGACGAGCGTCCGAGGCCTCCGACTGCTGCAAGGCCTGGGAATCGGAGTGTGCATGTTGGCCGTGAGCAGCAAGAATAGTCAATTCGAGTTGAGACGAAAATAACATATTTGTATGTGTGTAGAACTTCTTTCGCACCGTACGTAACCAACCGTGCTAATTGGTGGTGTGGGGGAAGGACAACAAACTAAACACAAAACTCATTTCTAGATTTAAAAGTTCATAGTTCCAGTGGCTTCCTAATAGCGGAAGGAAAAGCGCTCGAGATGGCCGCATCTGAAAGCGTGCGACGCGGTGACCACTGTCTTTTGTTTGATGCGCGTTGAGCGGCCACGTCGGCAACGTCTGTAATGGACTGCTCATTAGTTTGTCTTTTAATAAATGCAGGCCCTTCGTGTATTCTACTGAAACGTCATATGTAATTTATAGAAACCGAACAAGATTTATGTGCGTATATGTAAAAATGTAGTGTGTTTAACGCAACTGTCAAGGCACCAGACACTCGATTGAGCAAAGTCCATCTGGAAATGTATCGAGCCGACTGGGCAGCGTGTATATTATCGACTTGCTGCTGGTGCAGCTGGTGCAGCTGGTGCAGCTGGTGCTCCTACCAAGGCGATGAGCTGCAGAGCAGTGGTGTCCTCGGGAACCGAGAGCACGGAGAAGGGCCACGGCCCCGGGGCACCCCACACCGTGAGACGGTGCCGATCGCGGCGCCACTCCTCCTCCGTTCCAAACACCTGCACGAGCGGGCGGGCCGCAGCGCTCACTCATCCGTACGGTGCGGTGCGGTGTGGCTAGAGTGGAGCAGTGGTGGTGCTAGCCCACCAGCGGCCGATCTACCGAGTGCGTCACCTGACTACAAACATATGATGGGCAAGCTACACGGACAAGCTACACAACTGAAATATTTAGCTTGTGTGCAGTGGTCAAATTGCATTGGTGCGTTGCTTTGGTGCGTTGTGTTGGTGCGTTGTGTTGGTGCTCTACTGTGCCGGTGTGCTGTGCCGGTGTGCTGAACCGGTGTGCTGAGCCGGTGTGCTGAGCTGGTGTGCCGCGCGTTGCGCTGGCGCGTGCCATCACCCTGGAGGCGGGGGTGTTCTCCCCCCCGAGGGGGGGCTCCTCTCGGCGAACGCACAGGAAGAGGCTGGAGATGGGCAGCGCCTCGTTATGGACGTTACGCAACCGCAAGTGGCGGTAGCCTGCAAGACGCGTGCACGCGCACACACGCACACACGCACACACACACACACACACGCACACACGCGCGCACACGCACACACGCACACACGCAGCGGCGTGGGAATTCACGCAGGACACGCGGGATAAGAAGGTGTCCCCGACGCCGTGCGTGCCGCCGGTGCCGCCGGTGCGCCGAGTGCTCTACCTGTGCGCAGCGAGGCCAGCGGCACCATCCGCTGCGCGGTGACGCCGCCGCCGCCGCTGTCCACGACAGACAGGCGGAGGAAGGCCATCGCCTCCAGGTGCACGGGCAGCGTGAAGGTCTCGCCCCACAGCGGGTTGAGCGCGTTGCGGCCCACGGTCTTGGTGCGCAGGTGGCCCGCGTGGCACGTGTCCAGCGGCATGCCCGCCAACTCGAGCTCCACGTGAGGGCTGCCCGCCGTGTTACCCGGGCACACGTACTGCCCTGAGATCACCTGCGCGTCCGCACGTGTGCACGCCGTTCGGAGACGTTTACGGATGCGCGGAGGCTACGCTCGATGGCGCAAAGCGGCATTCGCCGATTCGCTCCGGCCACTCGCTAGCCGCCGGTCACTCGTCTGCTCATCACTCTTCGAGCGACTCACGCCTGACATCTAACGATTCAATGCTCGATTCACAAATACGAAAGAGGCACCATCCCAGCGATGCACCACTCCGATACTCTGGCTCAACCACCGCAAAGTAAAATCAAAGCTGCTGCTCTATACCCAACATCGGCCGTACGACCTAGGAGCGCGCATCGTCGTCCCCGCCAGCGAGCAGCGCGGAGCGGGAGAGGGGGTCGCGTACCGTGATGTGGTACGTGGTCGGCTGCACCCCCTCGATCTCGCGGTCCATGGGGCGGAAGGTCTTCTGGAGGGGGCAGGTCCTGTCCCTGAGCACCGGCGGCTTCAGCACAAACCCACAGCCGCCGTTCTGCTCAAACATGGCCGCGTTCAGCGCCATGGGTAAGTCTTCACGCACACACACAGGCACGCACGTAGACGCACACGCGCACACACACACGTAGACGCACACGCACACACACACAGGCACGCGCACACGCACGCACACGCGAATACAACAGCGTCAAACAGGCAACACGACGGGTAAAGGATGTGGCTCGTGACGCAGGCACTCGCATCGTGTGACATCACCAATATGAATGTGGGGCCTACTCACTGGTGGCGTGAGGTCACTGGGAGAAGCATTGCTGTGTGCACTTTAGTCGAGACAATTACCATTAGACTTGGCAACATAAGCTGGTTGGGAACAATAAATATAACGATTAAATAACGGCACGTAAAACATGCGGTGGTTGGTTAATATTTCTACGACGTATCCCGTATACACATCGCACTCTGGCTGCTCTGCATGGTAGATACATTAGCGTAGGCTGTGCCGAGTGTTTGGATTCAAGGCTCCTCTGTGCCTTCTATTCACACACCTTCAGATAATAACGATCTGATTGCCATTCATGCTGTTGTCTGAAACAACAAGCGAGCGATATTTGTAAATGTTGTGGATTCGCTCTCCAATACACAGCCGGTGTGCTGTACTAGAAACGAATTGGCACGTTCTGTTTACGTGACAACCCTTACTAGTTGGTCGCGAAAGCCTATGTGTTAAACGGAGCAATATTTATACACACTGTGTAATGCATCATTATATGGAGGTTTCCAAGATGCAAACACATACACATGCATGCATACATACAAATGGCCATATAAATATTATTTGTAGAGCAAAATAATTATATAGTTTTCCGTTGAACTAGGACCCACATCTAACAGAGAGGGTCTTTGTCTATAAACACCTGCGGTTTGCCTTCAATAGTGGAAGAAAGCCCGATTTTTCTGATGAGGCTGAATTACGCACTCCCAGAATGCCGTGTAAGGGATGTAAATAATAAAATCTGTTCATCTTTTTCCATGTGGAAGTACAGATGTGTGAAGGCAGGCTATTGCCTGCTAATTTATTGTATTATTTGTAGTGTTCAAGAGCCATTGCACCAGGCTACATCACGATTCCCCTGCCCCGGGCATGACACGCACCCTCGGTCTGGTAGTTGAGCGCCACCATCTGGATGCCGTGGAGCCAGTAGAGCATGGGGTGCGGGTTCGAGGATTCTATTCTCGTGGCGGCAGGATACGTGCGCAGCAGCTGGCACATGGTGTGCTGCGGCACCTGGGAGGGAGGGAGGGAGCGACCGAGTCACAGCAGCGTGAGTTCGTATCAAACGCGGTAATGCTCCGTGCAGCGCGCGTGTGCTCGGTGAGAGTGACCATGAGCAGGGCGAGGGAATGACGACGAGCAGCTCGTCGCGGGCCATTACCATGAACAGGTAGAGAGGCTTGTGAGCGATTGTTAAGTCGGGCAATGTAAGTGTACTTATTCATTGTTCGTACTTTCAGCTGCATGAAGCACACACGGACAGCCTCGTTGTTTACTTCGCGTCGATTGCGTAGCCGTGAGGCTGTAGTGGCTCACTCATTCAAGCTTCCCCTCGCGTGATTGGCGACCCGCGAGCGGCTATGGATTGGTGGGCTCGGAGTGGGGGGGGGCATCGATTTGGTAAAACGGTTCAAAGGACTAAAATCCTGGGAAGTGAAGGTCGGTTAAAGGCCCGTTGGGGAAATGGGCTTTGGCAGAAACTTGGTCGAGAATGTTCAACAAGGGGGAGACAAACACAGAAGGGCTTTAATAGAGAGCACCGGGGCTCCCTCCGCACTGCTTGGGCTACGCGTCACGTGACTCACTTCAGCAAGGGAGTCCTGCGCAGCTACGCGCTCCGCACTCGGCGGGGGAGGCACACACCTTGGCGCCGTAGCGACGGCACAGGCGTTTGGCGGCGTTCTCGTTCATGGAGGACATGTGATAGCACTTGGGCGTGCGGATGAGGGCGCTGAGAGATTTGGCGGAGAGAGGAGGCGCCACCCCGGGATCCTCCGCGTCACCGCCGGTCCCATCGCCGCCTGCCACGCGACAAACGCAAGACGATGGCGGCGCTCAGCCCGCGAACAGGACGCGAAGCGCCCGCCCCACCGTGCCAGCAATAACCGTGGCCGTACGTACGCGGACGTAACGCCACGAGGAATCGGCATGAAATCCTGCGACAACTTTACGCCGTCTAATGATGGCGACTGTGCGCGCGTTCACACGTTGTAGCGCGTGACCGTGCCCCCTACTACTCGGCGTGAGCACGGCGCCGGGGTGGCCACGGGGCTGCTGTCTGCACACGCTGCCCAGGCTCCGGAGTTCCCATGACGGTCGGGAACTCGCAGGCGATGGAGACTTTTAAGTCCCGGCTGAAAACCCCACCACCTGTCTGACGCGGCGGCCTCCTATCTCTCTGGTTCTCTACCTGGTCTCTTTAGTCTTTCTCAGTACAATGATCACATCAGTACAATTATTTTTACATGCGTGTGCACGTGGTGCGTGTATGCGCATGTGTGTGCGTGCGCGTGTTCAGACTCACCCTTGCCGCGCGCGTGCGCCACGTCCTGCTCCCCGGTGCTCATCCTCTGCGCGGCGGCACCAAACAGCGACTTGCGCGTTGCCTTCGCTTTGAGGCGCGCGGGGCCGGGCCTGGAGAAGCCTGCGGCCACGCCAGGGGACAACGGCGGCGGGGGGGGGGGGGGCCGTGAGCGGTGGGGCTCCCCGTGGCGACGCCTCGACAGCGGCCGCCGCCGTTTGGGGCACGGCGGAGATGCCTCAGGTTAAGCACATTTTAATTAAGGTTCGGAATAATTAGAATGCGGGAAATAAGGAAAGGGGGTGGCCTAACGGGGGTCACGTAATGGTACAGTTTGACATGCTTGGCTCACGCCCAGAACAAAGGGGGTTTTAAATGTGGAGATTTTGAAAAGCTCAGCTGGGAATTCCCAAAACTGGTAGCAAGCTCAGCAAACTAACTTGCTATTCAAGGTTTTTTACAGACTGAAAAAGTGTTCAATTTACATTCGCTATCACCCGAATAAAATTCCATAAAAAGTAGGAATTACGTCACCGTCGCCCCGCCCTCACCCACACCCACAAAAATCCGAGAGCAAACCCCTTGCGACGAGAGTCCGTGCCTCCGTCTTCTGCAAACGATAAAACGATACGGCGACAGGCGATCCTCGGGCTGACCCTTCACGACGAAGCGGAGGTGACCCGGCGCTGTTGCTGTGCATAACACCTGGAAACTTGACGGCCTGGCAGTATATGACGAGGTCGGACATCTCCTGCGCGATCTGCCGACTCTCCTTCTTGTTGTGTGGAAGCAGAACCTCCTCCCGCAGCTCCATGTCGTACACCTGGCAACGTGTGCAGACGCGCGGAATCAACGACCCTCTCACTCCAGCCACCACGACTAGGCTCAAGGTGCCGGTGGGATTCAATTGGACTCCTTTTGGATGAATAGACAATGTGGTCCCACAGGTAGATGGACAGAAAAAAAAAATACTGAAAAACTCAAAATAGTAAATCAGGCAGAGGTCACCAGCTGCAATCGGGGTCAGAGAGTTGTGCCGCGCAACGTTGGCTCGCAATCGCCGTTCCAGTTGCGTTGTACCGTACGGCCCCGCACACCGAAGTTCGGTCATTATCTTGTGACCGAGGTCACTCGTGCGGCTGAGATTTGCCCCGCTCTCTCGCGCCCTCACCCCCGGCCACAAACAAAACCAAAAGCGAGGCCGTCGAGAGCTACGGGCTCCGCGCCGCACGCACCACGTAGCGCTTCTGCTTTGAGGAGGGCTTCTCCTTGCGGCTGGGCGAGGGCGGCTGCACTTCCGTTGCCGCCCCGCTTCTGCTCTTGCTCTGCTCCTCTGCGTCCTCCGACGGAAGCCGCTCGGTGCGCTCGTCCAGGATGGTGTCTGCGAGGGGGGGGGGGGCGTGGGGTAGACGGTGAGGGATGGAGGAGGAGGAGGAGGGGGGTGAGGAGGCATCCGGGAGGTGGGGGCAAGATGAACTCAAGTGGGGAATTGAGATCGGGGAGGTAACAAGGGAGAGCCGTATAGCATGGCGCCAGACCACATGGACCGGATGGATCGTTGTTATCAGTCAAATCTTGGGTTTGTTTTTACATTGCAGGAAACATTATCTCAGCTGCACAGCAAAGAGCTGCTCTCACTTCTCACCCGAACACATGAATGAATATTTTGGTCTCACGCAGTACGGGGAGACATGGCACTGTTCAGTGGTGATCACCGACCAAGGCCATCACATTCTCTCTCCAGCAAAGCCAAAGCAGGGGAATTCCATAAGCACACTCTACAATCAGCCGCCCCGTATGACTGATAACAACAACAATGTAGGAGAACTCATTCAAAATATAAACGAACACAAGTTTACCAATTAACAAAACTTCTGTTTCTAAATACACCTAATAAACACGTGTACAGGAGTGAAAACATGTATTATGAAAAGAACGATTGAGGTTGGATCAAAAGGCCCGCACCGCCCGAGTTAACGACGACGCATCTCTGTGAATCTGCTTACGTCCGCCAACGGACGCCCGTGGAAGTTTCCGTCGACTCAGAGTTCAGCGAGCAAGCCCTGGCCCCTCGACCGCTCACTTCCCGCGGCGCACGGCGGCGCCGTCTTCTTATCACAGAAAACTCAGTTTTTTTTCTCCCTTCCCTACGAGCGATTTACTCAACGGTGGCAACGAGCAGAGAGCAGCCAAGTCTGGCCAGCGGCCTGGGGGGGGGGGGGGGAGACGATTGACCGATTAAAATCGAGCATTGTGGACGGCCGCCGTGGCAACGCAAAACTTGAGAGCCGAAGTGGTGTCCGTGGAGAAGCGGAATAGCAGGCCACGCGTCTCGACTCGACTTGGGCTCATTCCATTACAATGTGCAATTACGCAATTAGTGGCGTGTACGTGCGCACTGCCCCGCGCTGTAGCCTCAATTAATGAATCTGTGTAACTCCAACTGCATTCCAATAAGCTGAGGTCATGACCTTTCGAGCAGACGCTGGAACTTTGGAAACTTCTTGGTGGGAGTGAGCCGTGGTTGGCTTTACCCCTGAAGACTCGGAGTCTCGGTTTCTGGATCGAAACTTTGGAATCCACTCAAAATTCTTCATTATTCCTGAAAATTCCTGCCCGTGCTGGGGCACGCACAGTGCAAGTGAAACCTCTGCTCACTGCTGCCGTCCACAGAGGCTGCACGGTGCCGATCTGCACACTCGTTATTTTTCCACAAGAACGCAAGAGATGTCCGTGACCATAAACAACACTGGAGGGCGTCAGATATTCATCAGATTTGCCTTCATCCCTGAATTTGAAGCGATTCGTCAGCCAACCAACCAATATCACACCAGCAGCAGCAGCTCCAGGGGGTTGAGAGGTCGGTCGATGTTGCTGAGATGAGACATTCAAGTGGAGATCTACCTTTGACAAAGCGACTTCAACCCTGAGGATGCTCGGAAAGCCGAATGGAGTTCACACGAAGCCACAAACGCCTCGTGACAGATGCGACGCAGAAATCCCCTGGATTCGATCTTCCGAAGTTAATGGGCCACAACCCTAAACCACATCCACACAAACCATGGCAGTGGAGTAGATGGGGGGATTCATCTTGATTTGAAGCTTTCGTGACTGGAGGAATCCATACTCTTTGTTTTTTTCGGTAAAGTTATGCAAGTATAAAATAAAATAAATCACATTTTATTTTATACCAAAGAGTATAGATGGGGGGATACTTGATGATGCACAACTGTAACATAAGAAACTCTCCGTTGTGCGACTGTGGCCACCCAGAACACAGCGTGGGGCATCTCAGGAGCACTCAACACCCGATTCACAAACACGGAGGGAGGGCATCGTCCCAGTGATGCACCACCACCACTCAGCAACTCAAGACGCAATCATCTGGCTATAGCTGCTGCTCTACATCAACATCAGCCCTACGTTAAGGAAGAACGAGTTTATTCATATCTTTAGGACATAAAACAGGCCGTGTTGTTGATTATTTGAGCAGGTGTATTAATCAGTCTGGTGTCTGAGCTAAATCCCACGACAAACAGAAATGGCGTTTGTGGATGCGGAGTTTAAGAATTGGGCACTCCTACTCAGAATCCAGACACTAGGTGGGAGCAGACACACACACTCTCTCTCTCAAAAACAAAGATCCCCTTTAACAGACTATTAGGGAAGTGCTGTTAGAGCAGCACCGATGAAGGCTGGCACGGTACACGAGCGGGTGGGTGGCCAGCACCACGCCCGCCCGCCCGCCCGCCTTTGTCTTCCCAATGGCAATGTGTACACACCGCACCAGGCACAAAGCTCTACATTGAGTTGAGGAGCAGCGGGAGGGAAGAACGCTGCACAGCAGCTGCTCGCAATCGCCGGGATCAGATCACGGCAGCTGATCAACTTTACTCTCCTCTTTGAAAATACACACCAACGTCGTGGCGAAGCGCACCAAGTGTGAGTCCAGCGAGCGTAACAACAACACCTCAAGGGTGCGTCGACCGCACGCATGCGCTGCGTCGTGAAAAGGCTCTCGCGTGACCACGGGGACGAGAGAGGCCACCTGCTGCGCCACGGCGCTTCTTCCATGGGACGAGAGAACCCCAGCGGTGCAGTCGGTGCGGGGAGCGCGGCTCCCGGAACGGAACGTCACGACGCTGCTTGCCCACGGTTTGCGGGAACGGCCGTTCACGCAAACGCAGCGGGGAGGATTTAATCCAGCCACGCAGCGCTGTGTATGCGGAGTGGACCTCACGTTGAACTTGGAATTGCGATGATTTCAATTCCAACAATGTAGCTGCTGGCTTTTCACCACAACAGACTCCAAATGCAACCAGTGCCGTTCAAACGCAGGCTCCCTCGCTAAAATATTAGAAGCGTACGCGCATTAAAGTCTCATTACCTGCAAAGGTTTAGTTTGAGAAACGACACCTACAATAAATAGGTGGAGTACGGTAGCCTGCGAGCAATCCGAGCTGCGCACGAACAAACGGATATTGCGACATCTCAAGTCGACCCAACACGACCTGGAGGATTCCCCTCTGTAAACAAACACCCAGAGAGGTTCCACAGTCGGTCGTTACGAGTCCAGCAGAGCCGACAAGGAATGGTCCGAGGAGGGGGGCGCAGGGGGGGGGATGAATGTTAATTGACGGCACACAAACACAAAGCTCTCCCGTATAGCCTTAACAGACCGTTGAGGAAAGTGCTGTTAGCGAACACCTTTCAAGGCCGGAACAGCACACGAGGGGGTGGGTGGCCAGCACCACGCCCGGCCGCCTTTGTCACCCCAAGTGGCGATGTTTACTACACACCGCACCAGGTACTCATTTGAGGCCGAGTCGACCTAGGGGAGGCCCAGGACCGGTTCAGACAATCGCCACTAACGTTGGCCACGTGCGGTAATCGAACTTGGGTCGCCGGGTCCGTAGCACTGTGCATCAAGCACTGTGCCACCGCTCCAAACAGGAATGTTATGCGCGCACACACGCAACACACACACAGGAATGCTCTTTCACACACAACAATGAGTTTAGTGGCGTAGCAGCCATGCGATGGTTGTTGGAGGAAGTTACCTTTCTGGAGAGCCTGCATGGATGTGGAAAGGCCGTCAGCTGGAGGGAGATAGGGAGGGGGGAGGGGAGAGATGGATTGAGCAGGGTCATGGTAAGAGAAAGGAAATGTGACAGAGCTGGGATGAGTGGGGAGTCATTCTGCCAGCAAACACAATCGTCTCTTCGGACGCTTTAATATCCTCCCCCTGTGGCCTCCCAACAACCTGAACATGGGCAGCCGAAGGTCACCCTTTCCAAGCGACCACGCCCCACTCCCTCTGCATGCAAAGACAACAGATCCCAGGCAATCTGGATGCCCTTTGCACTCTCAAAGGCACATCTCTCTGGCGGCAGGTCTCACATTCCGGTCGTGCCTTTGTCTGCCAGAGAATGCACACGAGAGAACATTGTTGTTGTTCTTAAACCTGACTTAGGAAGACTGCGAGACGTGAACAGCCCGGCGAATAGGGCTTGATGGAAGGACTAACATTTAAGAATGTCTGTTTTAGGCCAAATTCATGTTGGTACACATGAGAAAGGGCTCTCCAAACCCATTGTTCCACACACTGAAATTTGTTAAACTTACGCACTCCTTGGAAATTGTGCATCTTTTCTTATTTCCTTTGGAGAATGTTTTTGGCTTTTCCCCATTTTTGTTCTTCCAGATGCTGCTCTCGGTCTAGTGCAGGGGTCGGCAACCAAAATAACAAGAAGAGCCATTTCTTTCCAATTCGGTACAAAATTCAATATTTCAAGAGCCGCAATGCATCTGAGTACATACTGTACATACGTACATATCGTCAAGAAGCAGCCCGTAAAGAGCCGCATGCGGCTCCGGAGCCGTAGGTTGCCGACCCCTGCTCTAGTGCTACGAGACGAAACTATTTCTGAGATCCCTTCACGTGACCTCTGCTCCACACAGTAGGCAGCCGTACTCTCCCACTCGCTCTGCTACCGGGCACAGTATTCATCGCCGGACAGTCAAACCAACATACTTAATTCTCAGAGCTGAAATTTTTGCTACGTTGAGTGCAGAATCACATCTTTTGTGATGTTTTTTTGTGTGTGCTGTCATTGGTGACTGGGCTGAGAACGTGAACTCATTGCACTCAAGAACCCGGCTTAGTCGCCGGTTTAGTCACCACTTTAGTCACCGCTTTAGTCACAGCCGGTGGCTGCTGGATTTGCATGGAAGATCTCAACGGTGGAAGCTTCCTGGTCCTGACGTCTGAGCCACGTGGTCCCCCTTTAAAGCACATTTCATATCGTGGGAGAAAAGAGCCCTTCTTGGATTGAGTAGTTTAACGCAATGCGCCATGGAGATTGTGTGGTGATGAAATTACAATGGCTATATCAGGATACACAATGAGTGTTAGGACATAGTGAATTAAAACACCAACGTACTGGCAGATAGTCAAGAGAGTGATGATATGTCATGGACAATGAGGGTTAGTTATAGAATTAGGAGCCAAATACACAAACACACCATACACATTTAAGTAAAAACATCATTTAGCAGTTCCAATTGAGGTTTAAATAATTATCAATGATATGCAACAAACGGATGGCGATTCCCATTTCACTCGTTCGGAGACTGAAGCCCAAAGCAAAATCTGTGCTTTCTGAAGCAAAGAAAATGGTCCATGAGCCAGAGCATAAATCGCTACCACTGCCCAAGGTAGCAAAACTTGAGTGGCACCGATTGATTTACGCGGCTAATCAGAGTGGATGATTGATAACACACTCATTTCGTACGTGCATCACACAGTTCACTGTTATTGGCGTTGCAAAGAGGCAATGCAGTTTGAACACACACAGACGTCAATAACACTGTGGCCCTTAAGAGAAAAAACAAAACAGACGTAATTGAGGATGTTTCAGTTAATGGCCCTTCTTAAGCGCTCTGAAAAAGGTCCACTGCCCGAAACGTCGCCGGTGTGTTGAGTTTTTGTTGTCCACCACTGCCACCGCAACAGCATCATCAACTAATTTGGTTAAAAATGTTTCCTTACATCGACTCTGCATACAAAGTGAGTAACACCTCAGCGAGATCCTTGCGTGGACCTGAGCTTAGTCTCACAGCAGCGTTGTACCAAGTGGCAGATTGCTAGGTTACCACAAGGCCCTATCCTTGGCATTACATTATTAATATTCCTCAGCACAAGTGTTCCCCTAATAATAGCACTTTTCAGCAGATGGCTCGCTGGTTTATTTACTTGTTTTTGGATATAAGAATCCAACTTTCTACCAACGAGATTCGCTAAATAAAACGAAGGACTGAATGGATTTAAACCCACGTCTGATATATGACACTTTAAAACCTTCATTGAATTTGGAGATTAACCCTGTGACTTCGTAAACAGATTAAAGTTGTGTTACGTAAGCTTGTAACAAATAGATGCAGTTTGATGTGAACTGACTCAAAATTGACGTATTTTTAATCGAAAGTTTAAATAAAGTACACATTTAATTAAAAGCGTTTTGACAGTTTGTGTGTTGAATTTCTTTCACATCGCACGTAGTCAACCGTGCTATTTGGAGGTGCGAGGGAAGGACAACAAACGAACACACAAACAAAGTGTAGTCCCATGGCCCTGGACTGGAATGCAGAAGAAGCAGCGTCAGATTTTCCCCATTTTGGCTTCTGATGGACTCCACATAGTGAGCGTTATTTTGACTAATTTTATCCCGGACTATGCTAACAATTTGTGGCGCGGGGTGGAACGTGTTCTTAAGATAGAAACCACGAGGACGATTTGATCGAGACGAGTGTGAAAAGACGGAAATAGAAACATTAACGCAATCCCCGATTGAATTGCACCGATTTCGCCACCCACGTCCCACGGCACTTCGCCACACAGCCTGGCCTCGACGTGCAGCCCCGTGGCACAGCCCTCGCTGGGAAGTACAACATCTTCAGAGTACACTTTGGACGTTAACATGAGATTCCGTGAAGGAAATTCACATCTTGACTATGCTTTAAACGGCATGCAAGCAAGGAAGCGGCGGGTTCTTGCCCGTGACAAGAACCGCGTGCGTCGCTGTGTGCCGGGCTTTACAGAGCCGAGGCGTCGTGTGGCTTCAGCTCTCGGCCGCCATGCCGACGTGAAGGCTCGCAGCGACCAGAGGCCTTGCACGCAGTCGCCGCTGCGGTGCAGGCGAAGTGGGCAGCTGCAGGTATTTGTGTTGGCCCGATTAGCCGCACGAACCACAAACGGTGGAGCGTGCACACAAAACAAAGCGCTCGTTCAGACTCCACAGCAGCACGGCCCCCACCACCACCACCACCACCGTAGCCGCCACCGTAGCCACCACCACCACCGCCGCCACCACCCCCGCTACCACCGCCGCCACCACCACCGCCGCCAACACCACCACCACCACCACGTGTTTATGAAGGCTGAATTTTGTGAACAAAGCAAGTTTACGTCCATAAACTAGGGTAATGTCACAAAGGACTAATACGCGTTTGTTGCTATGCGAGGCCTGAGTTAGAGTCCTCAACGTGTGCCAGGCGTACGAGCACGTGGCAGCTGTGAGAGTACAGCCGTGTGGGGCAACGGAGTGTGTACGTGGGAACCTGGAGGCGTAAGCAAGCGCAGCCATCGTGCGACCGGTGGCTTCCACTCACACCTCCCACCGTTAACACTGTCCCTGTGACTTCCAGGCCGTGAGCTTCCACCACTTCACGTGGCCTGAACTGCACCACACCTGGAAACAAGTGGCACGCTGCCTGGTAGGGAACGGCAGCTTTTGTAACCGTTTATTTTTTTTCTGCACCGGTGATGCCAATCCTCGAGGTGCCCGCAGCCTTCTCTCAGCTTGCCCTTACTGCCTCGTGCTAAAGGTGCGTGGGTGGACGTGTGTGCAGGGACAGTGCTGGGACGAGCGCAGGAGTGTTTGTTGGGGTCTATAATAAGAATTAGAGGTATGTGCGTGACAAATGAATCGCTCCCACCACTCCAGCGATTTGGTACCTTACGAAGAATCTTGATTTTTGTTAACACCGCGGGGTGAATGTGGTGGCCACGAGAGGCAGAGGGGGCTCACGTGAATCTACGACGGAGACCAAAGACTCGCGCGCAAATCTAAACGCGTTGATTCTTACCCGCGTGAGATAGAGCGCAAGGATTCGGTACCGCTCGTCGGACCGCCGCACCGCCGCCGCACCGCTGGTTAAGGATGCGGCGTGGGGAGCGTACCGTCGGGGAGCGTGCGTTTACCGTCGGTTAGCGTGCGTTTACCGTCGGACAGCGACTCGTAGTCGTAGTCGTACTCGTCCTCGTCCTCCTCCTCCTCGTCCGCGGTGGCGCTGCACTGCTGCGCCGCCAGGCTGGCCAGCTTGTGGGCCTAGCGGCGCCACGCCAACAACAACAACAACGGCCATTACACGACGGACGTGTCGTCACACCGCTAGCGTCACAGCGGCGACTCCAGCCAAGCGACGATGCACTCACGCTCACTGCAGCGGCTCTCCCCACACACTGGACTCCTACTCTTTGTGGGAATAGTGTAAGTGGGCTTTGTTTATCAGGTCCTCCCTATTTATTACAGGTTTCAAAAACATGTATGTGTGTATGTTGAACTTATTTCGCACCGTACGTAGCCAACCGTGCTAATCAGAGGTGCGGGGGAAGGAAAACAAACTAAGGCGTGTAATAAACGGGCGGTCAATATTGATATTCTGGCCAGTAGGTGGCTGGCTGGGCTCTTCAGTGACCTTGTATGCACACCAGCCACACGGATAATGGAGGCCTGATGCAGGCCTGTGGGTATGTGTCCTCGGCCACCAGAGGTGCTTGCCAATAGTACTTGCCCCAATGGTCTGTTAAGGCTATATGCGGGATTTTTGTCTTTGTAGGCCAGCATGGAATAGAGCAAGAAAATTATTATTATGGAACTTGGTCGCTTCAATTGTGCAGTGGCAGGAGGCTGGTCATTAAAAAGTGAAGCAAAATGATGAGGATAAATCCAAATGCTCAAGCTGTGGTGCTCAGATTGTTAAAACCTAGAAAAGACCGTGGAACTTCTGTGATACAAACCAGGGCGAGAGAAACATGTTCAGAGCACGGCAGAGCAATTGCAGGAGTGCAAGTGGAGCTGGGGGGTGATTGAGTGAGAGGCACTGCTGGCCGTGTTGACAGATCAAAGGGAGGATTTAAAGCAGCTGCGGTTGACACCGGCAAAGTCGCTGCTGGGTTTAAAAAAAAATGGCGACCACTCCACAAGACTCATCGGGAAACACCAGACAGCAGAAGAGAATCATGCAAGCGCAGCAAATGCCGTGGATCTGGAGGGTTCGGTCCAACCTGGAGCGAGTTATGACCTCATGTACGGTGAGAATATTGAGTTCGACGTTGTTGTGGTCGTCGAACTACGATCCGAGTAATTCTCGGATTCGCAGGAAGCGATGGGTCAGCGTTCGCGAGATAGCGTCACCCCCTCACCTTCTGTTTGAGCAGGTCCACGGGCGTGTGGTGAGCTTTCAGCTTGCGGTTTTTGATCAGGATCTTGCCTCGCAATTGCCATGGCGATGGCAGCATGGGGTCGTCTAAGAAGTCCGACTCGAAGAGGAAGCGCGTCACGAGTCGCTCCCCGAAGACGCTCTGCAAAAGAAGCGACCGGCGGGGGCAGCCGTGAGCTAGCGGCGACCGTAGCCACTCACGGTCCCAGTGTGGCGAGATCATTCATTCCGTGCGACCTAACTCCAAAGTCAATGATGAATCGAGTGAAGTAATTTTTGCCCGGTGCGCACACGTGCACTGAGCACACCGGGTTGTACGGTGCGCGGCCGTGTTTGTGGAGATGGGGCACCTTGAAGATTTCGGCCATTTTACGCTGCTGGGCGAGGCAGCAGTGGTTCTCGATGGAGAGGATGACGGGGAGCTCGCTCGTGACGAACGCGCTGCGGTTGATCGCTTCCACCACGTCCTGCACGGCCGGGGCAACCCAGACATCGGTGACGTCACACACGGCGGTGACGTCTCACGCGGCGACGGAGCGGTGCACACCTACAGCTCGCACTCTTACTCACTGCCTATTCGTTCAGCTATCACTTGTGGCCAGGTCGCTTCTGAGAAAGAGCTACGTAGCTCAGTGGGCCTTACCACATCCTCCATTGTGCAGCAGCCCGGTGCTCACTTGAGCAGACCGACATTATGACTTTGATATTTGGACAGACAAAGGGAAAGCACTGAGAGCGATTTTGAAAGGAAGATGCCTCGAAATAACAATCTCATAACAGCAGACAATTTATAGAAAGTATGGCATAAGACCCTGAGCGTTCCATCGGTGAAGCCACCCCCGGTTTGGGTGTGGAGTATCCGTGAGGTCTAAAACATCACACGTCACAAACTCCTAAGCTTGATTACCCCGGAAAGCCTCAGGACTTTTTCTCAGGATGGTACTGCCAACGTTGTCGTAGCGGGGGCACAACGCTGCCGTGCGGTATCCCCGAGCGAGTAGCTCGTGGGGGAGGTTTTCAGCAGTGGGATGTTTGGCCAATATCGGTTCCATCGTGCAGGTCCGCGTGTGTGCTTGTTGAGCTCACGGCCAACACCGGTGACAATTGTCTGAACCGGTCCTGGCCCTCCCCTAGGTCTACTCAACCTCAAATGAGTACCTGGTGCGATGTGTAAACATCACCACCGAGGAGACAAAGGTGGCTTTGCGTGGTGCTGGCCACCTACCCCCCCTCGTATCCCGTGTCGGCCTTCATCGGTGCTCGCTATCAGCACTTGCCCCAACAGTATGTTAAGGTTATACAGGTGATCTTTGTCTTTGTTCTTTGGGCTCAGCTTGCATCTCCCGTAAGTGGGCGTGGCGTCGCTTGTGAGCTCGAGGCCGGGAATGGCCGATAGCGGCGGTCACCTGGAAGGGAATCTTGGTGGTGAGCGTGTGGCCGTGGTAGATGATGGGGGAGCCGTCGTCTCCGTCCCAGCAGTCCAGCTCCACGCTGCGGCAGCCCTGCAGCAGCACCTGAGGGGTTGGGGCCGGAAGAACGAGAGGAACGACGATGGTGATGACGGTGGCGATGGTGCACGTGGCTGCCTGGAGCCCAGCACTGTGGAGGCAGCAGCAGCAGCGAGGGTTGGTGTATCACCGCAGGGATGTTGTGAAACCCCCTTCCCGTTGACGTCGAGAGGGAGCCGTACCCTGGTTCGCCAGAAGGTAGCTCAGCAAATATGAGGACTCCAGCTGCTCTGTATGTAAGGGACAGTGTCTCCTCCTGCACATCATAACATTGTACGATGATAATAATAATAAAAGTTACGTATTTACGAAGGGAAGCCACACCGAGTCCCAAGACGCAGGCGGGTCTCCTGCGCTGATTGTGTTGTTTAGTTCCACACCGATGACAATGATTTGTAACCGTGGGAATAAAACCCAGAGAACCCAGAGGAAACCCATGCAGAAGCAGAGGAGAGAATCCACACAGAACGGCGCACGAGTCAGGATTCGGATCCAGTGCCTTGTTGCTGTGAGACACAAAGCGTTGCCACCCTTAGAAAAATAGCAGTGACAGATTTTGGTGTTCTAATTAAAAGTATATTCCTTGGTGAGCAGAAGTCAAACCAATCAGCAGTGAGAGATCTGGGGCCAATTCCTTTTGCAACGGAGTGCGCCCAGTGTCCATTGCATGTTGTGCCTCGGAGGGTTGATGGGATGTAAACCAACAACCAACCAGGGATTGAACTCACAACCTTACGTACTTGAAAAAATAAAGATAAAGATCCCCAATACAGGCTACACAGGCTGTTGGGCAAGTGCAGGTAGCAAGCACCTGTTAGGGCCGGAACGGCGCGTTACGGGGTGGTGTTGCGAGCATGACGCCAGTCCGCCTTGGTCTCCCCAGTGCTGATGTTTACACACACCGCACCAGGTGCTAATGTAAGGCTGGGTCGACCTAGGGGAGGCCCACGACCGGTGCAGACATTCGTTATCGACGTTGGCCGCGAGTGGAAATCTAACTCGGGTCGCCAAGTCGGTGGCGCAGTGCGCCAAGTACTCCGCTCACACACACGCACATGCACGCGCGCACACGCACGCACACGCGCACACACACGCGCACACACGCAGCCACCTGATGGTAGAGCTCCACGGAGGAGTCGCCCTTGAGCTGGTGTCCCGTGAGGTAGGTGTTGTGGGACGAGGCGATGTAGTAGTGCGAGAGCGGGCGCTGGAGCTGGCTCTCGTCCGGCGGGGACTCCTCCAGGACGCACGCAAAGTTGTCCGCGTCGAGCAGGAACCTGGCGGAGACGTCACAGCGGGAGCCGCGCGCGTCGCTCGCGAGAAGCCGTGGGGGTAGAGTCACAACGGCCCCACACCGAGCAAACCGGACGCAGCAGCAGAAATGTGCTTTTTAATAAGGAGGACATTAAACACATCACGGACGGACAGGATGAATAACATGAACACATTACGGACAGCAGGGTACACAATAACAAATAGAAACAGAATAATTTGAGAAAGGCAAGTTATATTTATTGAGACGTTCAATGAGAAAACAGGAGACTGAATATGAATGAGTTTTGACAATTAGAGGTACCACAAGGAGATGGGGAAGTTAGCGAATTAAGTACATAAGCAATTTGAACAATTGGATGCAACAGGGCAGAGCTCAACGGAAGGAAGGCCACGATCGCTGACGTCTTTGAAAAAGGACACGGCGCAGACAGAGAGATGGAGAGATAGAGGTTTGGAGAGGGAGGGAGAGACGGGGAGGGAGAGAGGGAGGGATGGGGAGAGGTATGGAGGGAGAAAGGGAGAGAGATGGAGGGATGGGGAGAGGCCACGGCTGGGTATGGATGTGTGAACGTCATTGCCGCGATGTACGCCGCGTGTGGTGCCTGTGCGTGTGTACCTCGCGAATCCTTCAAACGACATGATTCCCCGCTGCCGCATAGACTCCGACGGTTCGAACCGCTATGGAAGAAAATATCGGATGAGCCTTTTGTTTCGAGGGCAGCTATAGAAAAAAAAACCGCGGCAACTTATGCAAGGCATCCCTGAAGCAGAGGCAGCGTGCGAGAGTTACTCAGCAAGGTGGCGCTGGAGACACTGGCAGCAGAGAAGAAGCCAGAGTCGTGGGCGACCAAAGTAAGTTGCAGATCAAATATAAATCGACAACACCCCTGTCGGACGGGCACGTGGTCGCGCTTTGCCAGCGGAGACTGGCCCCCACATCGTGGTCAAATCTGACGCTTATTTGCATTTATAGGAAGCCGACACAAAACAACACGCCCACCAACGTTGAATTTGTCATTGTTGTTTTTAAATACCCATCCGTAAAAAAACCAACCTCTTCATCAACCTCCTCATCGGTCACCAGCGACGTCACGGGGGACACTCCCTCACCTGAATGAGGCGCAGCAGCTCCGGGTAGGTGAGGTGCTCGCCCTGGCACTTGGCGAGGAAGTCTGCGAGCTGCCGGGGGGCCATGCCCAGCAGGCGGGGCGACGTGCTCTCCACGCCCGTGCCGTTGCTCAGGATGCTGGCCGCCGCGATCGCGTCCGAGATCTGCCGCTGGTAGGCTCCGGCGGCTCCGGCGGCGCCGCTGATGCCGCCGGAGCCGCCGCCCGGCGACGCCGCGTGGCCTCCTCCCCCCGCGGCAGGCTCCGCACCCCAGCCGGCACCCGGCCAACTCCACTCGGACTCATTCCTCGTGATCAAGTCTGAGCGGAGGAGGGAGGGATATTATTCTCATTTCCTGGATTTTGTCCTGATGATGTCAGGTGCAGTTTCAGACAACAAGGGTTATCCAATTGCAAAATTTGGGTAGTGAAAATTGTTCTTCGACTTACTAGTGTATTTTGCGTGGTAAAGGCCCGGACACCGCACAAAACTTTAATCTCAACACCGGCTACGAAAACCTGGTGCGCGTTAAACACACAACCCGTTGTTTGACGGGACACGTTTCACCGGCGTCCGCCCGAGGCTCACCAATCTCGGGCTGGGCCCCGGGGGGGGTCCTGGGGGCCGCGTCGGCGTGGCTCCCCGCCGGCACAGCGGGGCTCTCGCAGCGGCTGCAGGGCACGCTGTACACCTCGAACACGTCCTTGAGGTCCTTGCGGCTCCGTACGCTGCACGCACACGGCACACGGTTCAGGCGTCTCGCTCGGCCCCTCCGGCTCGGCAGCGTGAGCAGCTGGCGCTTCACAACCGCGGACAGCGGTTGCTGCTGCTGCTGCTATTGTGCTAAGAACGGGAGAACAAAGGTTCGTAAACTACACAGGAATTGTTTTTTACAATTCTATGTGGCAATTTTAAAACGTTGTACACGGAAAAGGATGAGATCACGCTTTTTTCAAGCAATCTAGGAAGGAATGAATGAATGACCGATTGAACGAGTCGGAAGTCGAATTAATTCGGTTTCCTTTTCGAAATAGTGACGTAGGTAAACGTTACATGTTTTTACCCCTACAGAAGCTCCAAAGTTCTCACAAATTAAACGGGATTCCCACTCACCGATTTAACAGCCACCGTGCACACGTAGAAAGCTATTTTCACTCAAAATGTGGTCAGGAACGCCTCCTACTCCCACCAGCACCACCACCATGGCGCGGTTCCACGCAGAAACTACCCGGGCTGATGAAGGCAATCCAACGGCCAACACTGCTCGCGCTCTCCCTGAACGAAAATCGTTCAGCGGCGGTGCTGCGACGAACGGGGGACAGGCGAGCGGGCGGGGGCGGGGGCGGCGGTGGGGGAGGAGCGGGCCTCACATGAACGACTTGAAGAGCTCCACGAACTCCGCCAAGGAGACGGAGTTGTCGAAGTCGTGGAAGGAGCGGGCGCTGCCGTGCCAGCTGTGGCTGTTGCGGCTGCTGCAGGCATTGGCAGAGTGCACGCGGGTCAGAACCATTTAGAAACAACAACAATTATATTGATTTTATAAAGCGGCGGGAACCGAACTCAAATCTCACGACGTCATTCGACACGAGTCGGCCATTGCGTGGCTGCGCGACGGCCCAAATTTGAAATTGCAAATGACTCAAAAGAGACTCAACACAGCAGCATCGGTCACCCGGCGTGTCTGTGAAACACAGCAGCAGCAGCGCCTTCCTTCGTGACGATCGCCTTGCGCTATAACAATGGAGCGAATAACGAATGTACTGAACAATTGTTGTTTATAAATTGTGAAAAGTGAGGAGTTGGGAAGACGTCAGATGTGGGCAGAACGAACTGAAAGCCTCGTCGTGGGCATGCAAGCAAGACGGCGCGCGCCCGTCACGAGACCTCCGCCCGACGGCTCAGCCGCTTGAAGGATGGGGTGCGGAGCAGTGAGGTGTGGTGCGGTGAGGTACGGTGTGGTGAAGTGCGGTGTGGTGAGGTGCGGTGAGGTGCGGTGAGGTGCTGCGATCACCCGCTCTGCGACTTTGGAAACGTGGTGGGCATGCCCATCGAGCTGGGCCTCTGTGAAGAGGAGGAGGAGCAGGAGGAGGTGAGGGTGAGCGGCCGTGCCGTGGAGGTGAGGCTCTGCAGGGGGGGAGACTCGGGCAGCGTTCCTCGACGCAGGGGGGCCAGCAGCGACGCGGGGCTGGACGCAGACAGATCTGGGCACACACCACACCCCATCACCGGCATCAACACCGTCACCCCACCACCACTACCAACACCACGCCCTCCCCCCCCCCACTACCAACATCACACCCCCCCACCACTACCAACACCACGCCCCCCACCACCACTACCAACACCACGCCCCCCCCCCACCACCAACATCACACCCCCCCCCCCCACCACTACCAACACCATGCCCCCCACCACCAGGACCTGTGCCTGGTGGTCACTGGCAGCGCTTTGCTGCTCGAGGCGCCGTTCCCGTGGCGTGACCTCCGCATGCATGGCGCAAGGCTCGTGTTGTTTGGCGCAGGCTGCTGCTCAAGTGGGATGTCGGGTACAGATGCCAGCACCGGTTCGGGGTGTGGCGGGCGCCCGCGTGCCGGTGCGGTGCGTCCCCTTGCCTAGGCTGCCGTCTTGGCGTCCCCTCGTCCTGACATCTCCCAGCTCCTCCTCGCTGTCCACGCTGGCCGACTGTGCATGGCATGCACACACACACACACGTACACACACGCACACACACACATACACACACACGCACACACACACGCACACACGCGACGTGTGAGCGGTTGACCGTGCAGGTCGTGGACGGGCAGACGGTCGATTCATGTCGTTGTTTTCCGCGACGTTGCGTTCCCAGGAGGAGGCACGGAAGAGCTTCTCTGGAGGTCCAGGCCAGGGCTCTCTCTGGAGTCACCGACGAAGCGGCGGCGATCGGGCGCCACCGTCACCGGCGCGAGCCGATTCTCTCCGGGTCACTTTCACTATCCCACTTTTTTATCTTTCAGGAAAGGGCCAGAATTAGAGAAGCTGCTCCTTTACGTGTCGTGTAGGGTTAGGGAGCACAGGGTCATGGGATGGGGTTTGGGGTTTAGCCGCGCATGCCTTGGCCAGCGCCTTCTTGTTGCGCTTGCTGGCGTTGCGCTGCGTGGCCTTCCTGCTGGGAGGCGCCACCTCTCCGAGGCCCAGCTTGTGGTAGCTGCAGCGCTCCGTCCCCGTGCGGCCCAGGGTGCCACCGCCGCCGCCGGCGTCGCCGCCGCCCACGCCGCTGCTGCCCCCGCCGTGGGACGGCCACCGCCGGCCCCCAAACAACTCCACCGTCTGTGCCAGCGTGGGGCCCTGGCAGGATCCCTCCTGGGGGGCGGGGGGTACATGGGGGGTACACATGATTGTCTGATGAGATGGCAATGCTGGGACTCTGGGTTGGAATTTTAAGCACTCTGATTGGCTGTCGCGACACGGCACCCCCCCCCCCCCCCCACAGCATTCGCTCATTCTCTGAGATAAAGAATGAGCCGGAGGCGCGAGAAACCGCGAGCAGGAAGGCAGCAGCCACACGGTGAGTCAGTGGCCAGCAATTGCCCAATCTCTGCTGTCCTCCAGGTGTTCTTGGCCAATGATTGAATGTTCAAATGTGGGAGGAAACTGGAGCGCCCGGAGAAAGACTATCCCATACAGACGGAACAAGTGGAGTCCGCACTTTGCTGTGCCGCCTTCTCTTGTGGTGCCTGGGTACAGCTCCTCCTCAACACCCACAGAGGAAGGGAGTTTCACAAAGTGTATGTGCGGTGATCCACCAACCCTCGCTGCTGCCTCCACAGCACCAGATCGCAGGCATGCAGCGGCTTAGCTACCGTCGCCCGGTCAAAGTCCGGTGACCGTGACTGTACGCAACCTGCCAGGGAAGGGGCGGCTCCGAGCGCGTGGCGAGACCGCGAGCCGGGCGACCCCCGCACGAGCGAGGCCTGGCGCGAGCACGCACCTGAAAGAGCGCCGTGTACTGCTTGCGCAGCCAGTAGAGCCGCTGGTCTGGGTAGCGCTTGAGCCCACGCAGCGCGGTGGCGACGAGCCGCAGCGCGTCCGTGAGCTGCGACGCCGTCTGCTTCGGCGCCAGGAAGTGCAGCGAGCGGTTGTCAGTGGTGCCGGCGCCGTGCAGGAGCGTCAGCGGCCGCAGCAGCGCGGCGTGGCGGTACAGGCCGGCCAGGTGCGCCGCGTCGGAGGGGGCCAGCCCGTCGGCAAAGGCGTCTTTGAGCGAGGAGAGGTCCAGGGAGCCCTCCGAGGCGCCGCGGCCGCCCGGCGCGCTGGGCCAGGCCCCGCGCGCGCGCCCGGCGACGGGCGTCTGCCCCCAGGCGAGCGTGCGGTTGTCGGGCTGCAGGCGCAGGAAGCAGAGCGCCGAGGCGCGCCCGGGCGCGTCGTAGTGCAGCGCGGTGCAGCCTCGGCGCAGGAAGTCGAGCAGGCCGAGCGGCAGCCAGCGGAGCAGCACGTGCGTGGGGATGACCTCGACGCCGTGGTCGTGCGCCGGCAGGGCGCACGACGGCGCCGCGCCGTCCAGCTCGTCCGCCACGTCGAAGCGGTCGTCCTCCGCCTCGTTCGCGACGTCGCCCAGCACAAACCTGCAGCGGGCGGCGTGGTTTCTCGTGAGCGACAGGCCCACGGTTCACACTATGAAAAATAATTCGTGGAAAATTGGGCGTGTGTACGTGCGTGTTCACGGGGAACAGGAGGTTGAGTGGTGTTAAAAGAGCGGAGAGGAGACTGCCGTCACCATTGCAAAAGATCAGACGGAATGTCTCGCAAGTCAAAGCTGACAACGAGCAAGGCTGTTGGATGAGGCCGCTCAGCACATTACAGATGGAACAAACGACCTGGTCACCAATTCTCTATCTTAGACTCACCCAGACTCCGTCCGTGGCCACGCATCTCACGACAGAGCTATAACGGTCAATGACAACAAATAATTAATGTGCGATCGAGATGAGGATTACAACGGAAACGAATGTAAAGCAGGTACAGACAGACGGCGGCTGACGAACGGCGATCGGGATAATCGACGTTAAGAGCAGACGACAGCCGAGACTGAAGCATTACGAGTGACCCCAATCAGTGCCCAACACCGGCGTGGCGATTGGCCGGACGCGCCAGCGGAGTGGCAGGCGGGCGTGGTGGACTGGTGGTGCCGGCCGGAGCCTCAGCCCACCTGACTCGGTCCGCCGAGAGCCCCGCCCCCTCCGCCTCCGCCCTGCCGTTCCTGCGTGGACAACGGAGAAGGGTGCTCCGCTTAGCACAGGCAGAGACTTCCCACGCGTGTATGTACATGCGAGTGTGTGTGGGGAGCGGTGCTCGCTAACAGCGCTTGCCCCAACAGTCTCTTAAGGCTATGTGGGTCTTTGTGTGTGTGTGTGTGCGCGCGTGCATGTGCAGAAGCGATGCATTTGTCCCAAATTTAATGAGGTCTGGTTGTCAAAATGTTATATTACCATATTGTAAACTTTGACAAAAACCAGGCAGTAGAATCTATAGCAAGTTGTAACTGCTACATGTCGAATTAAAAAAAATCCAGTCACAGGGAATTAAAGTGTAGCAATTTGCTAGTCTCAGCAGAGTCACCAATGATAACACAAAAACACAAACATCACGTTCAATTGGGTTCCTTTTGTCAAATTGCAGCTATGACAAATGAAATATTGGATTGATTGCCATGTACTGAACATATCGCAGAGTGGGAAAATGTTAAATGTTACTCTCCTCTACCGTGAGGACCGGTGGTAACTTGAAGAAGAGATCTTAGAAGTAGCTCTTTGATATCCACCCCTGTGGGCCGTTCCCAATGGATCCGTCGTCCTGTGACGCAATCGGCATAGCGTCGGGCGCACAACGACAAAGAATGCACGAGGCGAGGAGAGGAGAGGGGCCGCGCTCGCCGTACTTGCAGCCCGCTGGGTTCGCGGGGGGCGGGTAGGCGGCGTGCTGCGGCCGCGGCGAGCAGGGGTCGCCGTCCGGGCCCCGTGCCGCCAGCAGGCCCCGCCGGCAGGCCGCCACCACGGCCAGCAGGCGCGACACCTCGGACGCCTTGTCGCGGTTGCACAGCCCGTCGAGGCCGGCCCGCCTCACGAACCCCGCCTCGCCCGCGTAGTCGGCCATGAACTGCGACACAATGGTTCCCCCTCGTGACTCGAGACACGGCGGCAGACCTCCGGGAGTCGCCGCGCAGAGCGGTGACCCCCCCACCCTGTGCAACGTGGAGGTGGCTCGCGAGTGGACGTGCCCGCCGCTACGACGCTCGCGACGCCGACTCGTCCCCTAGTCGTGTAAACGACTGCCCACACGGTCCCTTAATCTTACACATAGGGCGCTTCGTATCTCTGAAACGTCATTTATGAGTATTGCGTTACTAAATCCCCGCACTTACCCTAAATAGTCACGTGCGTCAAGTGGGGAGCGGTAGTGTAGTGGTCAGCGCAGTGTGCTGCGAATCTGACGACCAGAGTTCGATTCCGGATCATGACCAATAACAGTGGTGAATATTTAAACCGATCCTGGCCCTAGCCCAGTACTTAACCATCAGCACTGGGAAGACAAAGGCGGCCGAGCGTGGTGCTGACCACCCACCCTCTCGTGTGCCGTGCCGGCCTTCATAGGTGCTCGCTAACAGCACTTGCCCTATAGTTGTTAATGGCTGGAGGATATTTATCTGCCCAAGCAACAAACGTCGTACACGCATCTTGCGCGCAGCAGGCTACGTTAGACACAAGTCTGGCGGAGGATGATGAAAGTGTTTCGGGGTTCAGCTCATCGTGCCTTGAAAGAGTCGTAAAGAAGTCTAATCGACTTGGGGGGCAATAAATCAGTCGTACAGACAACAACCGCGGGCTGCATTAGGCACGCTCGGCTTGGCGGCACGTCGACTGGACCACGTCGACTCCCGCCCATCCCTTGGGAGCCATTGAAGATTTGTTATCTTTATACGAGCAAGTTAAGGATCTTTTGAACAACATTAAACTGCATGCCAATAATACAAATGCACTAGACAATGTAAACAATCTGCTGGCTTGCGAAATTACATGGCAGCCTTGTAAATCCAGAAGTGGTATTCCTGCTCATATGGAAAGGCGCACTCACTGCCTCTCACCACCGTGTTGTTGTGACACTCACTGCCTCTCACCACCGTGTTGTTATTGTGACACTCACTGCCTCTCACCACCGTGTTGTTGTTGTGACACTCACTGCCTCTCACCACCGTGTTGTTGTTGTGACACTCACTGCCTCTCACTACCGTGTTGTTGTTGTGACACTCACTGCCTCTCACCAACGTGTTGTTGTTGTGACACTCACTGCCTCTCACCACCGTGTTGTTGTTGTGACACTCACTGCCTCTCACCACCGTGTTGTTGTTGTGACACTCACTGCCTCTCACCAACGTGTTGTTGTTGTGACACTCACTGCCTCTCACCAACGTGTTGTTGTTGTGACACTCACTGCCTCTCACCACCGTGTTGTTGTGACACTCACTGCCTCTCACCACCGTGTTGTTGTTGTGACACTCACTGCCTCTCACCACCGTGTTGTTGTTGTGACACTCACTGCCTCTCACCACCGTGTTGTTGTTGTGACACTCACTGCCTCTCACCACCGTGTTGTTGTGACACTCACTGCCTCTCACCACCATGTTGTTGTGACACTCACTGCCTCTCACCACCGTGTTGTTGTTGTGACACTCACTGCCTCTCACCACCGTGTTGTTGTGGCACTCACTGCCTCTCACCACCGTGTTGTTGTGACACTCACTGCCTCTCACCACCGTGTTGTTGTGGCACTCACTGCCTCTCACCACCGTGTTGTTGTGGCACTCACTGCCTCTCACCACCGTGTTGTTGTGACACTCACTGCCTCTCACCACCGTGTTGTTGTGACACTCACTGGAGCACCTCGACTATAGCTCTTCGTGAATACACTGCCGAATGGCCTCCCCGCTGCGGGGGGTTGTTTGACCATACTTCACCACACTGGTCAACGCCGGTTAGTGAAGGAGCAGGGCCCAGGATCGGCTCCGATATCACTCGCCACTCACGTGAGCCGTGCCTGGGAATCAAACTCAGGGGGCCAGGTTCAAAGTGCGGTGCGCTAAGCACCGCGTCACTTCGCCCACCACGCGACCATCGCTGTGACGCTGCGACACGGATCACGTTTAACCCCCCAGGAAGCCCCTGCGTACTATACACCCTGAACACGCTGCCCCGGGCTGACGGCGACCCCGCCAATCGTGAGAACCCGATACAAAATAGCCATCAAAACATCGTCCCACCGCAAACAACGAATCCCCGACCTCCCGGTCCACAACACCACGACACGCTTGGCCTGACGACATTTACAAGAGAGGGCGGTAAAGTGACACAGTGAGGGGCCATCATTGCGAGCCAGTGTGGGAGTGGCACGGAGTGTAACCGCAAAGTTAGCAGAGCACATGTCACTTGAAGCACGTTCACACACACACACGACACAACTGGAGTAATGTAATATTTGCAGGAGAATGAGTAATTAATTATCAAGCGACTGTGCATCTTGCACACGATGCTGTCTCCCCCAATAACTGAGTTTTCTTTCATCCACGTCACTCGGTCAGACCTCGGAAGCTAAGCAGGTTTTGTCCTGCATAGGGCTTGAATGGGCGAGCACTGCGCACACACCCCATCGCCACAGACGGCTGTGTGTTGGACCGTACTATGGCGCCACGTCTATGCGCCCCTCGTTCACCAAGCCGCCCTGTCCAGCGTGCTGAAGCGACGGTCGACCATCTCCTCCACGACCCGGCCGCGGCACGGGGAAGCCCTCATCCAGCAGTGGAGTTGAACAAACATGGCTGTTAATGTCAATGTGCACTCTCCCCGAGTTTGCGCGGTGAGTGCGTGAATGCATTCAAAAAAAGTTTCACTTCGAAGCGTTCACGAGAGTTAAAAAAAGGTTTCGTAACAAAAAATCTCAATGGGACCTCCTCTGTGGAAAGATCTCTGTGTGTGCGCAACCACGATAGACCCGGGACGTGCGAGCAAGTGGGGGAGGGGACAAAAATACATCTCGAAAAACGGTGCTGCCCGGCACTCTCGTGCAAGCAACACGTGCTCACAATGCCGGCTGTGCCGTCGCCGATGCAATTTCCAGCTCAACCCGGTCACGGATGGAAGCCGGAGAAATAGAGAATTTACGTAAAGCAGCCGGTGGGTTGAGAGGGTTCGCGAGCCCGGTGAACCTGCGGCGATGGCGGGGTTCTGGATCCTGCGATTAGGAACTTAATAGCCGACCCCCCGTGGGACGACGTGCGCATTCGAAATGAAATCACAACACGAGATGTTGATGAAGGCTCTACAGTGCACACGCCATACCTGTTCAGTGGCATTCCAATGCATGGGGGGGGGGGGGGGTGGACACTGTGCAGCTGCGGCTACGGGACTCAACACAAGTGGGCTTCTCGCATCCTTCGGCGCTGTGTGGATGCGACCGTGTCGACACGATGCACATGTTGCCCGTGACCGCCACGTGGCACAGCTTCGCCGACACGACGCGTCGACTTTGTCGACAAACAGGCGAATCGTTTTGTTGACCTCGCCGCGAAGTATCGGCACTGGCGCTGATCGTGCGGCGCAGAAACGTTGCGAGATTTACGCTCGGAGGGATGGAAGACACAGGAGCCGAATTCATGATCGGCACTCTGCTTGTTGACGCACGAAAGCCTCGTCAAGTCTTTTTCAGGAGGGTCCGGACAACTGTTGGTAGTAGGGGGGAGGGGGGGGCGATATCGCTGCTGTGTGAACCCAACTGTGCCACATTTGCAGGTGATTTTTGAGCATTTGGATCTCTGACCAATGGCAGCTGCATGTTATAATTACGAATTTTTAAAGCTACGGGGCGAAATCTGAAAACTCAGAGGAGACCGATGCAGAACAGGAGGAGAAAATACAAACTCCACACAGGAAGGTGCCCAAGTTGGGGATCAAACCCCGGCCCTCCTTGCTGTGAGGCACAGGCATCACCACTGTGCCACCCTGCCGCCCTTACAGAGAAGAATGCGACTACATGCAGGGTACAAACATGTATGCTTAGTGTATGCTGCATATAATACTACTACATATAGTAGTACTACTACTATATATAGTACTACAGGTGAGGCCTTCATCCACCAGTGGATTGATCATGGCTGCTGACTATAAACCTTGCAATATACATGTACATGCAAACTTTTAAAACATTATTTTCTCACTTCACTGTCACTGTGTAAAGTATTTGAATTGTGGCTAATGATTACATTACTCTGTGCTTTTAAATTCATTCAGTTTAAGTGATTACTGATGAATTACCATCGACTTCGCTTATGACAAACTGTGTTAAACTTGGCTCATGGATTGTAAAACATGTTGGGAAAAATGTCTCCAAGAAACATACCAAACATTCTAATCCCAAGCATTAGCCGCACAGCTGAAAGTTTGAGTTTGGCAATGTTCGCTACCGGCTATTAATTGACAATTTGTTACAGCTCATGGCACCTAAATCATTATTTTATCGTACGGTTTTGTAAAGTATGTTAAGCACCATGAGCAAAGAAGGCGCTCTATTAATCCAAAGTAAGATAGGATTATGGGAGGTGGCGGAGGCGACTTGTTGAGGCCTTCATCCAGCAGTAGATCAGACAGATTTGATTGTTGTTGTAATTAGCTAAGTTGTTGTAATTAGCCAAGTTGATGGGCCCCACAGTGTAGAACGGGTTACTCTACAAAGACGGTTCCCAGAGGCAGACTTCACAGTAGTGAGCATTGGTGACTGTACCGTACCGATGAGTCCTAACAAGGACGAAACCGGACCACAGAAGTATATCTCTGTCTCACTGCTGCCTGTCCGTCAGTCACATTCACTCAAATCAATTGTGATGGTGACCTCAGGCAAGCGGACCACAATGCAGTTCTTCAAAAATTGTTGCATCTTGCCCAATGCAGTGTGATAGCAATGAGAGGAAATGTAATCATCGTATTTGTGGGAGTTTATCGATGTTCACTGAGGCACACTCGCGATTCCTAGCAATGCAACTGTAATGCCGCCCGAGTCTACTGAAGCCAGCCTTGGCATTCGCGGAATTCAAAGGACTCCGGGGGTGGGGG